TATTATTTAAGGGAATTTTTTGACAATGTCGGCAAAGAATAGCTATTTCAATTCTCCGATTCATTAAATTTTTATTCTTTTATAAACTTAGTAATATAGAGTTTCTCATGTATGCACAAAGAACATGGGTCATTTAATGACCTACATATTCTAGCTTTTCTTATTAATTTCCATTTTACTGCAGGTGTTTTATTGGATTCTTTTAAGTGCCAGAAATATTGGGATGTCTGATTTCTGTATCCTTGGAAACAGGAAATTATGAATTTATATGTGCGTTTAAAACTCAGTAAATTTAAAAATAAGTTATTCCAAAATTCGCTGGAAGATGAAACGGAACTAATGCTTTTAATTTAATTATATAATTAAATTTGAAGTTTTTAGCTTCAGTTTTTGAAACATGGTTATTACTGTGTAGCGAAAAAACATATTTTAAATCAGTTAATTTTAATTTATAATATATATATATATATATATATATATATATATATATATATATATATAGGGTGTTTCAAAAAGAATACGCCAAAATCATTACACTGTTTTTTTTCAGGTCTATAGCTTTGTAGTGGACTGAATCAGTGGTTATTTGATAGAGTAGTTATCAAAGTTTGATTGGGTGTCAGTTTCACCGCTGTCGTCAGTATAACTTCCGGTGCAGCTACAAACAGGACAAACCTATCTCAAAATGCTCCAAAACTGGCTATTCACTTTACTGCAAGCAGATTCGAATGACTTCATTTTTCAGCAAGATGGAGCACCACCCCATTGGCATCTCAAGGTTAGAGCTTATCTGAATGAAAACGTGCCTCAGCGATGGATTAGGAGGAGAGGTGCTAAAGACCTTGCTCTCTGTGCTTGGCCTGCCAGATCCCCGGACCTCACTGTGTGTGACTTTTTCTTGTGGGGGTATGTTAAAGACCAAGTTTATGTTCCAGCACTTCCAGCAAGTATTGATGACTTGAAAAATCGAATAACAGCTGCAATCAACACGGAGGACCATGACTTGCTGAGGCGCGTTTGGGAAGAATTCTCATATCGGCTTTATGTTGTCCGCGCTGCCGGTGGTGGTCACGTTGAGCACTTATAAAACATGAAATGAAACTTGAATGTATATATAACACATGTGTTCATGCTAGAGGTTTGTAATTTTTTTCTTTTTTGACATATCACGTGATGATTTTGGCGTATTCTTTTTGAAACACCCTGTATATTAACGTAGGATTAGCAACCACTTCCTCCATTTGTAATCTAACACATACCTTCGTCTGTAGAACGTGGTATTTACAACTACTATGATGGTCCTATGGTAGTAAAGATTTCCACTAAAATTAAGGAAGACAAATTAAGAAAAATGATTTATAGAGAACTAAAAAGTTTAAATCTTCAGGTTAAGATAAGTATTAATGTTAAACAAGTAGATTTTCTTGATGTTAGGTTAGATCTCGTTACTGATATATTTCAACCTTATAACAAAAATAATGCCAACCCAATTTATATTCTAACCACCCTCCATCTGTAATCCAACATATACCTTCGTCTGTAGAACGAAGGATTAGCAACTACTCATCGGACAAAGATGTGTTTGATAAATATAGCGGTGTGTATAATAAAGTTTTAAAGAATAGTGTTTATAAGTACGCTGAAATCAAATTTAGAAATTATGATGATAGTGGTCTAAAGAAAAGAAATAGAAATAGGAAGATCCTTTGGTACACATCCCCATTTAATCAATTAGTCAGTACTAAGTTATGCCGTAAGTTCCTCCAATTGATTGTTAACATTTTCCTAAAAGTAACCCTCTTAGTAAAATATTTAACAGAAACGCATTAAAGCTAAGTTATAGCTGCACAAATAATCTTGAGAAGATTATATTACACAATAATAAAATTTTAAACCAATTTAATAGTTTGCTGTACAAATCTTAGTTACACTTTAATATGATGGAGTCAACAGCTTGAACGAGGCCAGTACATTCAAACTCTCAATCACGATGACTTGTGACTTTGTGCTAGCACAAAACATTGACAGTCTCCGAATATTTCTGTCTACTCAATTTCACGAACAAATTTTGAGTTAATGTAAACCTGGATCATTTGAAACTTGCGTTAGATATAAGAATAACTCAAAAGTAAAACGCCTCACATCAGTTCCAGCACATAATATATATATATATATATATATATATATATATATATATATATATATATATATATATATATATATATATGGAGAGAGCGAGAGCGAGGGAAGTAGATAGATAGATAGATAGATAGATGAATAGATAGATAGATAGATAGATAGATAGATAGATGTTCAAATAACCTATCTTCCGGCTTCAAACTTCACAGATCATCAGGGTCAGTTAAATTTAGTTAATAGATGTATGTGATGTTAGTAAGGTAGGTAGAAGATAACGTGATGAAAATACTTCTTTCTTCATTGTTATATTTCAAAATAATGAACTGTAATATTTACTTAATATAAACATGAAGCAATAGCATTGTTCAGTATTATATCCAGGACACTTTTAAAAGACATATTTCACTAAAAATACCACTACTTCATATATATTAACTAGATCGTTTTCACATCGTGCTGTTACAACTAAACATAAATTTTACAGAATCTGCTACATTAGGTTGTTCCTTTTTTCAATTGTATTAAAGAATTTACTTCTTTTTGAAGAAATCTACAAGGAATATGGAAAAGGGAACGTGAAACTCATGCATAGAACCTTTCAATTCGATCCTCTACTCTTTAGCTAATTCACCAATGGTTTGAAAAGAGCTGAAGAAGAAAATAAAATAAAGATTAGACGTAAAATGTGTGCTTTTTCTCTTGTCCTTCAAATGCAGGGAGATAAGAAGATATGAGACGCTTCTATTAAATAGATAAATATGATATACGTTTGAAAAGAAAGCA